ATACTTTAAAAATCAGGATAAGCTACAGATATTCGAATGTGCGATTTACGCCACAGAAATTTAAAATGGCCCTGGCTGGTTGCTCAGTGATTAGCGTGTCAGCCCACACACAGAAGGGTCATGGGTTCAATTTCCAGTAAAAAATCAATGGAAAAGCCCCAGACTGTTTGACTCAGTGGATAGAGCATCGGCCTGTGGACTGAAGGCCCCAGGTTCAATTCTGGTCAAGGGCACATACCTCAGTTTCAGGCTCCTCCCTAGCCCGGGCCCTGATCAGGGCTCATGCAGGGGGCAACCAATTGACGTGTTCCTCTCACATGCATGTTTCACTCTGTCTTTCCCTCTCTCTTCTACTCTCTCTAAGAGTCAATGGAAAAATATATCCAGGTGAAGATTAACAACAACAAAATATCAATGGAAAAAATACCTTAGAGTGAGGATTAACCAAACAAATAAAAAACAAATCTAAAATGATAGGTGGAAATAGATAGATTAATAAAATGGAAAAAAGAATAGGTTTCTTCTATTACAAAAATACACGATCATTTAGTATTGGAAAATATGGCATTTCAAATTGATAGGAAGACTGTAACATGTTTAGTAAGTGGTTTTTAGGCAACTCTAGACATTCAGGAAAAAAATAAGTTTGGTCTAGTTCACACCCCTTACAATAAGATAAATTTCATTTCAATTTAGGTGTTTTGTGTTTTTTTTTTTAGTTTGGAATAAAACCCTAAGCATACTAGAAGAAAATACAGTGAATTTTAATATAATTTTGGTGCTCACTTCGGCAGCACATATACTAAAACTGGAACGATACAGAGAACATTAGCCCAGCTGGCATGGCTCCGTGGTGGAGCGTCAACCTGTGGACACAGGCCCGGGTTGTGGGCTTGATCCCCGTGTGAGGTGTGCACGAGGCAGCTGAAGGCTTTCTAGGCATGTCAGAACCCGGATATTAACAGGGGAGAAAGCATTAAATTTTAAAATGCAAGGCAAGACGGTCTGAAACCTCGGGTTGCTCCAGGCTTCCAGAAACATTACATCCCACCCTACATCACGCTTCCTCTTTCTCCAAATCCAGGGCGAGACACTGTGGATATGATGTGGGCGGCTGAGTATGAGAGAACAGAACACGGGACAGCAAAGTGCTCTGCAACCGGATTAAGCAAACACAGCCATCACAGCGAGACACCAGCTGGAAGTCAGCAGTGTCTTTGAACAGCAACCTGTCCACAGAGCCAGGTGAACACACACCTTTGTCACGGACCCGCCACCGCCACCCGGGCGCGATGGCCTGCGGTGTGGACGTCTCAGCGTTTAAGCCGCAAAGTGCCATCGCTCAGAGGACCCTGGAGACCACCTGCGCTGAGGACGGTGGAGGGACAATGTTGCCACGCGTGGTCAGATGACTTCCGTCCCCAAGATGAATTTCTTTTCTTTTTGTTTATTTCTTTTTGCTGCTAATCCTCACCCGAGGATATTTTTCCATTGGTTTTTAAGGAGAGTGGAAGAGAGAGGGAAAGATGGAGAGAAACATCGATGTGAGAGACATATGACTGGTTGTTTCCTGCATGAACCCCAACCTGGGTCGGGGAACCCGCAGCCCAGGTATGTGCCTTTGACCGGAATCGAACCAGGGGCCCTTTGGTCCGAAGGTCGACACTCTATCCACCAAGCCAAACCGGCAAGGGCCCCGAGAAGATTTCACAAGTACTCGGTGAAACTCAGCGTTTGTGAAGTGACTTAGCCTTCCATTTTTCACCTCTAAAAGGGAGACGGACTTTTCACCGACCTCAATCGCATCATCCTTGAGCTATAGCTCATCCGTTCAAATGCCGAGTCACTGATGGCACCACCATCTGCCGCTGTAACGGCAAACGGGTCCCCGCACCAGCCGATGAAACAGACCCTGGATGCACCCGTCTGATGCCCGTGCAGATGTGGAAACACACGAGAAAACGTGTCACACTATTCATCACACCGAATACAATGTCACCAAGTGCAGCATAACTTTTATAGCATAATTTCCAAATCAGCACACTTCTAGCCGCACAGACCAAATATTAATTTCATGAGCACAGAACCCAGGTTTCATCGGGCCACTGGCAGTTGAGATGATAACCTGCGCTCAGTCACAGCCACGGCTCCACAGCACCAGCATCTGCGAAGATGGTCTTCTTCTCGGGGTCACGCAGCAAAGCAAGAGGACTTTCATGAAATTCAGAGAAAGCACAGAGAGGAAATAAACGTGGAGAAAATACTCCAGGAATGTGTGTGTTAGAACCAGTCTCTTTTTAAAAGAGGGAGCTTTGTTATTAACGACTCATGTCTGCATATCAGAAGCACATTACCGTCCCATCGGGTCACAGAATAAACCGAAAGCCGCCTACAACGTGCGTCATCTGGCTGTTAACAAGGCCTGTGAATTAAGTTTTTACTGTTGGCTTTATAACTGGCTTCCTTCCTCGGCCTCCGTCTCACAAAAACGAATGCAACTGGAGAGATAGAAAAGCAATCTGTTTCACTGAGCTCAGCACAGGAACAAGGCAGCTCGCTCCACACAGAGAATTAGGATTATGAAATGTCAGCGATGTTCCTACAGAATTACCGCCCGTGTGGCCAAGCCCAGCCCTTGCACTGCTTACAAGACACAAGTCCGTTAGCACAAAGCCATAAGCCAGGGAGCCAGCTCTAAATCCCGCAGCCGTTAGGGCACCGAGGCGGGCAAAGGGCACCTGCTAGCAGAAGGGACGCCTGTAACTGTCAAGCGTCTTCCTGGGGGGCCGCGATTAGGTTCCCGCTCAGGGCGCGTGCCCCCCACGCTGCTCAGAGGTGCTCCCTCAGGCTTCTAACCAAGATGCTTCTAGCACAGTGGTTCTCAACCTTCCTAATGCCAGGGCCCTTTAATACAGTTCCTCATGTTGTGGTGACCCCAAACTATAAAATTCTTCTCGTTGCTGCTTCAAAACTGTAATGTTGCTACTGTTATGAATCGTCATGTAAATATCTGATATGCAGGATGTATTTTCATTGTTACAAATTGAACATAATTAAAGCATAGTGATTAATCACAAAAACAATATGTAATTATATGTGTTTTTCGATGGTCTTAGGCGACCCCTGTGAAAGGGTCATTCGACCCCCAAAGGGGTCGCGACGCACAGGTTGGTGACCCACAGGTTGAGAACCGCTGTTCCAACAGCACTGCTTCCAACAAGGACCCTCTGGCTCACTACACTGACATGAACTTAAAAGCCTGCCAGTCTGCCTCTATAGTGCCTGCCATGGGTTAGCTGCCCGATCCTAACAAGTGTATTCTCTCTTCCACGATGAAGCTCTGTGAATACAGGGAAGCAGCAACCCTGTCTTTCCCCCACCCCCCACCCCCACACTGTGCAGGTAGCACACTGCAGCCCATCATCTGCTAGCCTACAAAGGCAGGTGGTGTGAGCGCAGGTACAGCCTGATCAGGCCCCTACAGGAACGCCCGCTGCGCCCCCTGCAGCAGATGCAGGAGGAGAAACCCACGCAAAGGTGGAGTCAAGTGGCCGTGATGCAGCGATCGGGACTGACGTGTAGTCTCCAACGTAGCCCCTTCCCCTTCCAACGAGATTGTCAAGGATGCTTTTTGTTACTGTGCAAAACGTACCTTATGCTTTTAGAGCCTAATCCGTGACCTATTTAGAGAGAGACCTGTCCTTTCCTTTCAGAGCTACAACATTTCACCTGAGCAAAGTCTGGTCTGCAGCATCTTTCAAACTGTTTGACCAAAGACATACTTTCTATAACAAAAATCCAACACGTACACACACGTGGACACAGACACACATTACTCCATTAAATGACCCTCATTCCCACCCTTTCTGTGCTATTTTTAATGGCACCCCGTGGCTCCTTGAACTGCCTCCAAGACCCACAAAGTGGCCGTGGCCCAGAGTTTGGAATTCACTGGAGTTATCGCAGGAGGCCCCGTGGTATTATTCCGAGAGGTGTGACTACAGGTCCCGGCAGGCCAGCAGAGTTCACCCCTGGAAGGTTAGGAAAAGGGTCTTTATTAGCCTAGACACAGCTCTGTCCCCAACAGCTTGTAGGTGACGTCATCGGGACAAGTCCTCTGTGCACGCTGCCACCATCACACAAGGACTGCCAGCTCCCAGATCTCAGTGGGTCCTGCCAGCCTGGCGTCCTGCCTGGAGGAGGAGGCTCACCCTCCCCAGTTCTGCTTTGTAATAAGTTTGATAGTGAGTAAGGTGGGGGGTGAAGACTAACTGAGCAGTGTCTGTGTCTGTGGTTCTGAACCATCTGCCCAGTTGTGATTTACAGGATCTAAGGGATATACTTGGATGTAGACAGAGTCTTTACTTTAGCTCCATCCTAAACGACAGCTATGAATCCGGTCCAACGATGACCGAAAGGACCAGGGAGAAGGGAGACTAACGCTGACCCATATGACCGGCACGAGGATGCAGCGAGCCGTTCTGTTTCAGAGACAAAAAATCACTCCTTCAAAATGTCACTGCCTACTGTCATGCCCACAAGGAACGAGTCCCTTTTCAAGCAAACCTAAAGGTTATAATAACTGACCGAAATAAATAAGCATAATAAAAATGCACAGGTTACATAATCAAAAACCAACCAAAAGCGTCCACTGCTTTAAAATAACCACCGTCGGTCATGCTAAATGAAGCCCGTCGGACTGACTCGTAATGGTTTTTCCTGCTTGCCTTACACATCCCCATTTTTCCGTTTCTTAACTAACTGGCCACTTGGGACTCACGAGAGAAGAAAAGGTTGATTCGCTTTTTTCACATGACGCTTGGAGACCATTGCAAACCAAAACCAAGGCAAACGCGTGCTAGGACCAGACACAGCGCGCACATGTGGGTCCGCAGCGAAGGCTCGAGGGGGCGTCCGCCTTGGACACTGCAGGCCTCGCTGCTGCTGTCCTTCCCGAGACATCATTATTACTTCCATATGATTTATGGCCCCCAGTATGAGCGATGGTGTGGAGAGCACGGGCCAAATCCCACAGGGCACATAACAGCAGCCAAACTGTGAAAAGCTCATAAATGCGGGCAGATCAGTTTCATCAGAGAGAGAACGCGAGAGCTCCAGCGGCCGAGCAGGACGCGGGCCAGGGGCGTGTTCCCCTCACGCGATTCCAGAGGCAGAAGGTGGGCGCCCACCGACATCTGAGGCCGCTCAGCACACGGCTAGAGAAACCAGGCAGCGGCCACCCGAGACGCCATAAATCAGACCTGCTCCCTCCTGGGAAGGCGGCCTCTTTCTGTTTCTTGGTAGATGAACACGGAACCTGAAACCCTGACTTTGTAGATGATGTCAGTAGAGATGTCTTTGGGAAGTCCCAACCAACGCTGGAATAACTACAGCTGGCCTTGAACAACAGGGTTTAGAGGGTGTGGGTCCACTTACAGGAAAGGTTTTTGTTTTGTTTTGTTTTGTTTTTTTTCAGTAAATACTATAAATGTACTTTTGTCTCCTTATGGTTTTCTTAACTTTTTCTTTTCATGTCTATGCGTTTCATTGTCATGCGTTTCTAACTTTATGGAAATAATACAGTGTACAATGCACATAACATACAAAGGCTGTGTTAGCCGACTGTTTATGTGATCTGTCAGGCTTCCTGTCAACAGCAGGTTCTCAGCATTGAAGTTTTTTTTGGGGGGTTAAAAATTATAGAAGAGTTTCGACGATGGGGGGGTCGACGCCCCTAACCTCCACATTGTTCAAGGTCAACTGTATGAATCCAATGGAATATTGCAAGTGGGGAAAAAGTAACGAATTATTTTAAAAGACAGTATATACATGACCCTTAACAGCACGCTTCCATCAACCAAAATCAATAAGCAAATACTTATTACACCACAAATGCATGTCAACAGACATTTCTGAGATGTTGAGTCTCTTGGGACAAATTTTCTAAATTCAATGCAAACATTACCTATTACATACACAAGGTAGGTCAGATAAAACTGAACATTCCGAAACAAGAGCTTGCGGAAAGTGTAGGAAACGCAAACAAAAATCGACAGAGAAAACAGGGATGACAGCATGAAGCAAGTCCTGTTGGGAGGAGGAAAGGAAGGGGGGTTAGAGGTCACACCCATGAGGACCCGTGTCAGCTGTTCTAGGGAGGGGGAGGGAGTGTGCTCTGACTTACCCAGCACTGGGATCTGCTAATAACACGAGAGCCCAGAGGGGCGATCAGGTGAGCTCGGGGATGCTCACCTGGCAGCAGGGACAGCAGCGGGAGGTGGGGAGACGAGAAGCCTCCTTGACGGGCATGACCGTGATGCCAAGCAGTCAGCAGGAGGGTAACACAGCGTCTGACTGCGAAGGGGTGGGATTAGGCGGAGGAGAGAAGCTTTAAGAACTGCCTTCTCGCCCTGACCAGTTTGGCTCAGTGGATAGAGCGTCGGCCTGTGGACTGAAAGGTCCCAGGTTCTATTCCAGTCAAGGGCATGTACCTGGGTTGTGGGCACATCCCCAGTAGGGGGTGTGCAGGAGGCAGCTGATTGATGTTTCTCTCTCATGGATGTTTCTGGCTCTCTGTCCCTTTCCCTTCTTCTCTGTAAAAAAAAAAACAATAAAAATATATATTTTTTTAAAAAAAGAACTGCCTTCTCATTCCAAAAAGGGGCTAAAAATAAAAGAAGGCGCAGGGGTCATTCTATGCTTTTGTTGTGAACAAAACCAGGAAACTCCAAGAGAGAGGTTATGGGGGCAAAAGGCAGGACAAGGTGGGGAGACGAGTCAGAGAGATGCCCTGTCATGGGTCAAGCAAGCGGCCCTAAGTTCGGGTCTGAAGCTTGGATTCAAGAAGCAAATCCGCCGGGATTCGTCAGGAGAGAGTTGGTGGCAGAGGTCACAGCTGGGGCCGACACAGAGAAGACAGGAGAGGACCAGCCAGAGCTCCGGCCAGGCCCTGGGAGGGACCCGGGCGTGTGGAGAGCCTGGAGGCAGACCTGTGCGCAGACTGCACCCGGGCCGCGAGGGAGGGATGTGGAAGGGAACGTGAGCAGCGTTATATTTTTTTGAGGGAAGAGGAGGAGGAGGAGAAGGAGGAGGAGGAGGAGGAGAAGGAAGCCTGCGTGACTAGTGCCGTTCTGAAGAGAGGACGGAGGACCCTCTGCGTGTGCGGAGAGCGGTCTCAGAGGGTGGGAGATAGAAACGGGGTCCCCAGGCCACGGCCTGAGTTAGGGCTCAGCCAGAGCACAGTCTCTCCAGCTGTTCCAGGGCCGGCCGGCCCCCGACATACAGAAAGGGCCTCAAGGAGAAACGACGGGAAATCGGGGCAGGGCGTCGGGAACACGGGCGGCAGCAGCGTTACCTTCTTGTGGTTCTTGTACACGTTGCGGTGGGCGAAGCCCTTCCCGCAGCGCTTGCACTTGTAGGGCTTGTCCTCGCTGTGGATCACCTTGTGGGCGCCCACCTGGTCCAGCCGCTTGAAGGACTTGTTGCAGATCTCGCAGCGGTAGGGCCGTTTCTCTGCGGGGAGGGAGTGCAGACCCCTCAGATCGACGTGGAGCGAAGGAGAAACCGCCTCCCCTCCCAGGACTCCTCATGAATGACAGTGAACATGATGGAAGCGCCTGCAGGGCCCCCACCGCCGCCCACCGGTGCTGATGGGCCTGCTCGCCAGGAAGCGGAGCTGGTTGGTAGAGACCCGCTTCGTAAGCTGATGGTGCGAAGAGCTTACATATGAAGATCATTCAAGTCCAACGAAGAAACCCCACTTCCAAGAGGAAAACCCACCAGTAGGTGCGAGCTGCCATCAGGGCCACACTCCGGCGCGAGGCATGGCCTGGCCATGAAGGACATGAGGACTTAAAGGACAGACCCGCCTCCTGCTGGGCCGGGAGTCCGGCCCGGGAGACACCACGCCCCGAGGCGGCCCTGGAACCCCTGTGCTCACTCCTCATGCTGACAACGAGGCAGAGAGATGCTGTTTGTTTCTCACAAAGCCCTTCTGCGGGGCACCCGCTCCCGACCTCTCAGGTTCATTTGAGAAAACATCTGTCTCTATCTCCTAACACAGTGGACATTCAGCGACACTGTGACCTTCATGGTCTCACATTACCGACTTCCTAAACTCCAGAAAGAGACCTCACAAAGCACAAATCACCCTCAGGCTGGCTTTTTGAAAATCTGTATCACAGACCCCTTTCTGGTGCAAACGTGCTTGCACTGAGACTACAGCTTTAAAAACTCACATCCTCAAAGTGGAGGTCTGAGCATTTCACTAACGTTTACCGGGACCTCAGTGAGACGGGAAACACATCTCAAGATGGAGGGGCTGCAACTGTGGCCTCGGTCCCCAGGGTCAGGCCCTCCACAGGCTACAGACAGAAGCCAGCTCCTTTCCCTTCCCGGCAGCTGTGAAGCATCCGAACCAGTGCCCCATGTCACAGATGAAGAATTCAGAGCCTGAGGCTCAAGCAGGACTGAGGGACAAACTAAAGGGGGGCTTGGAAGACTTTTGGAATCATTGAGACCAGCCACCCTGGCTCCATAGACAGGCTGAGGTCCAGCGAAGTTAAGTAACTTGTTCAAAACCTCACGTCTACGGAATGGCTGCGCCACAACCAACAGCCAGGTCTCCTGCTGGGCCCTCTCAGCGCTCCTGAGTGACAAGGCAAACATCGGTAGTGATTTCAACAGAAAGTTAAAAATATGTATTTTACCTGAGTGGGTGATCATGTGACGCTTTAGCTGATTCGCCGAAATGAATTTCTTCATACATTCTTGACAATCAAATATCTCATGGATCTGCCAAAGGTTAAATCAACAGTTAAATCAACTGTCAAAGCCACATACGTTTCATAGAGCTCAAATAAAAGTATAAACATGTGGAAGTTGCTACGGCAATAACCCAAAACTATATATTATAATTCAGCCCTAATCTGTTCATTCTATCCTATGTATATTAAAACTAGAGGCCCAGTGCACGAAATTCGTGCACTGAGGGGTGGGGTGTCCCTCAGCCCTGCCTGCGCCCACTCGCAGTCCTGGACCCCTCACTCCTTACTACCATGGAGGCAGGAGAGGCTCCCGCCATTGCTGCAGCGCTCGCCAGCCATGAGCCCAGCTTCTGGCTGAGAAGGGGGTTTCCCTGTGGGAGCACACTGACTACCAGGGGGCAGCTCCTGAGTCGAGCATCTGCCTGCCCCCACCCCCGCCCCCCCCCCGTGGTCAGTGCGCATCATAGCTACCGCTCATTCTGGTCGTTCCGCCATAACGGTCACTTAGGCTTTTATTATATAGAAGATTGCAATGAGCCTAAGTTAATTAGTAAACCCATGTCATCTATAATAATAAAAGCATAATATGCTAATTAGACAAGGTGCCCTTCCAGATATCCTTCCTTCTGGACAAAGCTGCAGCGGGTGGAGCCGTGGCAGAAGCAGAGCAGAGGCCCCCGGCCTGAATTTTGTGCATCGGGCCTCTAGCTGAAAGTAAATACGATTGCACACTGTTTAACTACGTAATATTGCTGACCTACCTAGTGCATAGTAAAGTAGCCTTTCTGTAAAGCATCACACAGTGTGTTATAATAGCAGAGCCGCTGGGCCCTGGCAGAGAGGAAGGTCACGGCGAAGTCCTGACCGGGCACCGACGGCAGTGCATAGTGAGCAACAAGTGGAAGGCCGTTGTCTCCCGGCAAATGGCCCCCTTGATCTAAGTGGCCCTAAAAAGAGGGAGCAAGTGGGGACACAGAACCCAGGGCTGCAGTCTTGGCCTAAATTCTGAGCCCAACGAATGGCAGGTTGGAGGCTGACAGCACCTTCCGCTTTGGTCAGAGCTGACTCTTGGTGAGTCGGCCAAGGCAGTTGTGAAAAGCAGGGAAAAGGGAGAGAAACAAGGAGAAGAGAAGATGCCGTCCCACTCATCTGGCTTGCACCCCTGGATGCAGGGCATCTAATCTGGTCAGGAGATGGGCGGGGTCAGAGAGCTCCAGGTCCCTTGGAAAGCCGGGCGGGTCGCACAGCACTCCCACGGCCAGAACCAGGTGGTACAGAGACCCTGCCTGGGACATCTGGAAGGCTGTCTCTTCCACCATCCGAGGCCCACCCACAGGAGCAAGGGTACAGCACGCACTGTTTATTTAAAGATAGTAAGTACAGGTTCATATTCTTAAACTATGTTTCTGCAACACATGAATAATGCCCTTTATGATGGCAAAATGCTCTAAGAAAGATGAGATGCCTTCTCAGCCACACATAAATGAAATCGTATTTATTTTCATTTTTAATGCTAAACTTTTACAACATAAAAATGATTAACGCATTTATAAAATGGAAACTTAAAATACTGCAGGATAATAATCATATTTGTATACTTCTAACTCTCATGGCTCCTGAATCATGAAACACTTTTAAAGGTTGAACTGAACTGATATTACCCAAATTATAAAATAGAAAGCATTTACGTGCATGAAAGCAATTTTGCATTAAATATCTTCTTTATAGTGGAAAATTCAGGCCAAAGCTATTTTCAAAACTCCTAAAAAGGTTTAATAAAATAACCAGATTTAAAGTGAAAATGATAAGTAATGCTATTTACTTATGCCTAACGTTAAGTAACATACATAAATGTCCATTGATATGGGGAGTAATAACAATAATTTCAATTCCAAACTAAGTAATTTTCAAGAAGAATCACGCCCCAACTGGCTTGGCTCAGCGGTTGAGTGTTGACCTAAGAACCAGGAGGTCATAGTTTGATTTCTGGTGAGGGCATGAATGATTCTTTCTCATTATTGATGTTTCTCTCTCTCTGTTTCCCTCTCCCTTCCTCTGTGAAATCAATAAAAATATATTTAAAAAAATAAGGATCAGAGTATATCTTATTGGAATATAGGATAGTATACAGTAATGTAGGCTATTACATTACCAGTGGTTCTCAACCTTCTGGCCCTTTAAATACGGTTCCTCATGTTGTGACCCAACCATAAAATTATTTTCGTTGATACTTCATAACTGTAATTTTGATACTGTTATGAATCGTAATGTAAATATCTGATATGCAGGATGGTCTTAGGCAACCCCTGTGAAAGGGTCGTTCGGCCGCCAAAGGGGTCGTGACCCACAGGTTGAGAACCACTGCACTAGAGGAAAATGTCATTCAGCATCGTCTTAAAGCACCACCTACTGGCAATGTGAAATACTGCAACCAACCTCTACTAGACATTAGAGGTCCCCAACCATGTGGATCGGTCAAAGCTGCCTATGGCTTCAAAAGGGCTAAGTCAGAGGCGCGAAGCAAATGCCACCTCGAGCTCATCAGTGACATTGATATCCTTAGAGACAACGTGGGTGCTGTTCTCCACCCCCACCAGCCAGGATCGAGATCTACCAAGACCTGAACAAGCAGCCAGGATTGAGCTTGTAGGAGAAGGAAATATTCAGGAACTACGTCTACTGATTCTGAACAAGAGCTCAGAATATTCTTTGGACGAGGTTACTCTTCTACATCTCGGTCTTTCATTTTAGAATGTCTGTATTGAAATCAATGACAATATTACACGGCAGACACCATACATGACTAAAAACATTGGACGCTCTGATGGGCACTCATCTTTATGCCACTGACCTTCCTGTGTTCCTGTAGGCTGGATGCTGAAGAACACTTTTTATTGCACACGGAACAGATGAGCTTTTTCTTAGGATCTCCTGAAACAGAAACAAAACACCACCAAGAGCTAAATGAGGAGCATTGGAAGTAGAGTTTCTCAGTGTTTCCTCTTCACGTCTTCTCATCTTCCTCCTAGAACTGGAGTCCTAGCTCCTCCCAGAAGAGATCGGGGGACAGTTTATGATTATTCACCTGAGAATGGAGATAAATGCTATCGCCCATAAAAACAAAATCTCAGTGAGCATCCACAGGATCTGGGCGAAGGGGAAAGGTGGGAAGGGGCTAAGGGAGTCGGCACCTTCACTCCGCTTTGTCTGGGTGACCCTGAAGGTTCTCTCCACCCTCCCAGCATCCCTAGGTTCAAGGACAACAGCTCCTACCAAGCCAACACTAGTCTGTACACTACTTCAGTTTCCCTGTATTCAGGCAAATCTTATATCTGACTTTCAGATTCCATTTTCAAAAACATCCAGGGCCCGCCCTAGCCAGTTTGGCTCAGGGATAGAGTGTCAGCCTATGGATGAAGGGTCCCAGGTTCAATTCCAATCAAGAGCACATGCCTGGGTTGTGGGCTCCATCCCCAGTAGGGGGCGTGCAGAAGGCAGCCAATCCATGATTCTCCCTCATCATTGATATTTCTATCTCTCTCTCCCTTTCCCCTCCTCTCTAAAATCAATAAAAAATATATTTTAAAAAAATATTCAGGGCCCTAGTCGGTTTGGCTCAGTAGATAGAGCAGGGGTGGGCAAACTTTTTGACTCGAGGGCCACAATGGGTTCTTAAACTGGACCGGAGGGCCGGAACAAAAGCATGAATGGAGTGTTTGTGTGAACTAATATAAATTCAAAGTAAACATCATTACATAAAAGGGTACGGTCTTTTTTTTTTTAGTTTGATTCATTTCAAACGGGCTGGATCCGGCCCGCGGGCCGTAGTTTGCCCACGGCTGGGATAGAGCATCAGCCTAAGGACCACCGAATCCTGGGTTCAATTCCGGTCAAGGGCACATACCTTGGTTGCAGGCTCCTCCCTGGCCCAGGCCCTGGTTGGGGCATATGCAGGAGGCAACCAATCGATGTGTTTCTCTCATATCGATGTTTCTCTCTGTCTTTCCCTCTCTCTTCCACTCTTCCTAAAAATTAATGGGAAAATATCCTCTGGTGAGGATTAACAACAACAACAACAAAATTCAGGAACACACTACTTACAAAGGTAGGGAGTGTGTGAGAAATTGATACAACTGAGCTTAGTTACTGCAGGTTTGACACAATGGGGCTAAGTACACTTCGAGGAGTGGCTGGAAACCCTATCCACCACATGTCACAGTTTCTGTGGAAAAATGTGATGATTATTTAAAGACTTAGCTTCCTGCCCGGCTGGCTTGGCTCAGTGGTTGAGCAATGTGATGATTATTTAAAGACTTAGCTTCCTGCTAAGCTAAGCAGGAGGTCACGGCTCAATTCCCGGTCAGGCCACATGCCTGGGTTATGGGCTCAATCCCCAGTAGGGGGCGTGCTGGAGGCCACCGGCAATCAATGATTCTCTCTCATCATTGATGTTTCTCTCTCTCTCCCCCTCTCCCTTCCTCTCTGAAATCAATAAAAATATATAAAAAAACAACTCAGCTTCTCTCTTCTCAGCATCTTCAACTCATATCCCTAACAGGACCATCTGTTGCCATCAGTGTAACAGTGGGGAGACCATCTCTCTCCTGGAATACCGGCCTTCCTAGCAAAGGATCCCACCGCCCTGTGTGGACACTGCTCTCAAGATGGAATATCCTTTCCCCAAAACTCTGTGCCGGCCACGGAGGAAAGGAAGAAGCAAGAGAGGCTCAGAACGAGACAGAAGGGGTGCCAGGCCCAGCGAAGGGTGGGCACGGAGACCTCTGGCTACACAGTAAGCCCCACATTTTCCATGACCCGCCCACTGCAGAGTAAAACAAACACTTTGCTTCATAAACGCTTTCCTACAAAACCACCAGGGGCTTCCAGAACGAGTAGGATTATAAGGCCCAAGGCCAGTGACAAGCAGCCTCAGAGCTGGGGCTGGGGGAGCCCAGGCTGGAGACCGCCTGCCCAGTGACGGCGAGAACACACGGTCCCAGAGGTGTTTCAGCATCTGGCTTTTCACTTACGCCGCAGACTCACTTCACAAACGACAAGAAAGATTTGCTGTAACACATCACAGATGGAGACGGAGAAAAGGAGAAGAGCATGTTACACCTGACAGCTCGACACGGACAATGAAGGCGGGCCATGCAGAGCCAGGAACCAGGAGTGCAGACAAGGCAGCCTCCTCAGACCCGCACACGCCCTCCAGGAAAGGGACAGCACAGCCCTGCGGATGGAAACTTCTGCTCGAAACTTAAATATGTTAAAACTAGAGGCCCGGTGCATGAAATTCATGCACTGCAGGGGGGGCGGTGCGGGGGGTGTCCCTCAGCCCGATATCCTTAGCATTGCCGTGGAGGCAGAAGAGGCTCATGGCCAGCTGTGAGCCCGGTTTCTGGCTGAGTGGTGCTCCCACTGTGGGAGAGCACTAACTACCAGGGGGCAGTTCCTGCATTGGGTGTCTGCCCTTGGTTGGTCAACGTGCATCATAGCAACTGGTCATTCCACTGTTCGGTCAATTTGCATATTAGCCTTTTATTATATAGGATTTTATAATAATGAGATTAAGCATTTGGAAATTGTATTATAGGCACTTAAAAAACACTCGAGGGCTGTGCACTTTAACAGAGTTTAAAACTGCATTCCAGTCAGATTTTACTGACTTTTGTATTGTATATTCTACACCAAAGACACTTTTGCTGAGCTGGCTCTTACAGTTAAATTAGGGACTATTAACAATCTTAAAGGGCCACAGATGCATGGGCATCTGGAAACTCTGTTTCCAGGCCAGTACTTCCTCCTCCAGGGCTCATATGCAGCTCACACCCGAGGAGGCTCACACACAGCTCACACCCGAGGGGGCTCACACACACAGCTCACACCCGAGGGGGCTCACACACAGCTCACACCTGAGGGGGCTCACGCGCAGCTCACACCTGAGGGGGCTCACACACAGCTCACACCCAAGGGGGCTCACACACAGCTCACACCTGAGGGGGCTCACGCGCAGCTCACACCTGAAGGGCAGCCCAGACCAGGTGGAAGTGCCAGCACTTGCTCACACCAGCCGGCAGCACCCAGCAAGTCAGCATTAGAGACAAGGCACAAACAGGGACAGTGAGGCTGACCCGATCACCCTCCTCTCCTGAATGCGAGGGTCGGGGACAAGAAATCCAGTTTCCTCATGTCAGAAAGACATGCCAACCACTTCCCAGAAGCCGAGGCAGCAGGATGCCCTGGAGGAAGTGTGGGTGCAGCAGGGGCTCCGGGGACCGCCTCCTCCTCTAAGGACACGCCTCCCGGGGAGGAAAGCGAGCTCCCAGGGTGTGGGGTCTGCTTGGCTCAGTGCAGTGCATTCAGTCCCTGAACCGAAACAGTCACCGTGTGTCAGGTGGGTGCAACCCCGTGACGGTCGCCTCTCACGCCTGCGTCGCTGTTTACCCAGCCATCGGAAGAATCCAACAGCATCTGCTGTCCTCATCCAAACAGTCAATCAACCCCACGGCACAAGGCAGTCAGTCATTCTCCCGACAGAGGAGGAGAAGCGTTAAAAAGCGGAATTTTCCTGTAAGGATAAGAAGGCAGATGGACTCAGGCAGGAAAATGACAAATTCTGCCGAAATCGACTTGGAAAAGAAAGTGTCAGGGGAAGGGAACGCCTGTCCGCACACACGTGGAGGGAAGGCCAGCTGTCCACTCCACAGCGACAGACAGAGGGGCTGCAGACAGACAGGCAGACAGCTGTGGACAGACGGCTCGGCCAGGAGGGGACGCCAGTCAGAGCCCCCTCCAGGACCCCTCACCCGCGTGGACGTTTTCCTGGTGTCTCTTCAAGGCATCCCTGCTCTTCAGCCGCTTCCCACAGCTGCCGGCCTTGCACACGAACCTGGCTTTGCCCCTGCACGTCTCCTGGTGCTGCTCGCAGCTGCGGGGCAGGGAGAGGGGCCGGGGGCGGCTTTGAGCGCGTGCCCCAGCCCGGGCCGGGGTCACCGCATGCATTATTGGGCAGAAAGGACAGCGTTTCAGGTCTGTAGCCCGGAACACAGAGCCACAGAGAGGCCTGACACGTGCACTCCACAGTGACCCGCAGGGACCCCGTGACCTCACGGCCCTCTGCTCACCCACACACACCTGGGCGCCGAGCTGAAGAGCGCGTTGCAGGTGGAGCACTGGAAGCTTCGGGGGGAGTCCTTCGGGCTGCCTTTGGCCGGGCACTGAAGAGCACTGAGGAGGAAAGACAGGAACAAAGACGCATGAAATCACCTCTCTGAACAGTCAGGGAGGAGACCCTAACTTAACTGTAAGAGCCAGCTCAGGTGTAAGATATATAAGACCAAACTCAATAAAAGCTGACCAGAATGCAGTCTTAACCTCTGTTTAAAGTGCGCAGTCCGTGTGTGTGTGTGTGTGTGTGTGTGTGCGTGTGTGTGTGTGTTTAAGAGCCTGTAATAGAATTTCCAAATGCTTCATCTCTTGTTAGTATAAAATTTAACATATTTAAGTTTTAAGTGTTGGGCAGACATCTTCCTCTCAAGTTTCACAAGCCAAAGCGGATGTGTGTAACACCGGGCAGTGACTAAGAAACGTGGCCGACTTCAGAATTTCACGTCAATGAATGAACGAATAAACCCTAACCCTATGCTGGGGAGTGCTTGCTCACATGCAAATGACGCTCTGATCAACATAAACGTTCCCAAATGCATGCATCTACTCTCTCACTCTTACTAGTAGTAACCCTTGATCCTGTAAAACGCTGAAGTGAAAGAACAGTGTTACATGCTGCTGACATATCCATCGGGTGACAGAGGGTGGGGAGCGATGGGCGGGGCCATGTATGCCATCTCGGCGCCATGGCCTCACACATTCACAGAAGTGACTCCTCAAAGTGGCTGGGGAAGCAGCAGCGTCCGCACGGTCCCTGCCTTCCTTGTGCTCTGAGCTCTGCGTGTCGCACACTCGCCTCGCCCTGGTTTCAGCGGGAGCATCAATGCAGACCACTGAGGCGTGGCCTGCCGCCTCCACGCACCTGCTGCGATTTGCGTGTCTAAGTTCAGATTAGTAAACCAATGAGCTGGGGCGTGAAGGGCAAGTTAGCAAATGGACAGATACTGGTTTGCATAAGCCATGTTCACTAGTTAAACTCACAACCAGGACGTTTCAAACGCCAACACACTACAGGGAGATGAGTGAATGACAATGACCCTGGGAGCTCTGACCTCCCCGCTCCCGCCCCCCGTGTCTGACACACACACACACACTAGGAAGTGTGACTACAGAGAAAGACATGGTTGTGGTTTTATTAAATAATTTCCCGTGTGTTGTACCAAGTTATTACAAAGTCGTGTTTCACTTTCCCTGCAATGTTAACTGTTCACGGCAAGGAGCTAGTGGTACATTACAAAGGGGAGCAGGTTCCCCCCAAAATGGGTCACCTTGAGCTCACGTTTAGCTGCACGAAGAGACCATCCAGCCGAGGACTATGCTGCATCCGCAAGGGAAATGTCACGTCTATGTGACAGGCCCTGATAGCAGGCCAAGGAGACCCCATTGCTGCTGGCCATCCTGCCCGCCACCACAGCTCTGGCCGAGCATGCATTTAACTTGCATATCGTGTCTCATTATCAAATGAGCGTATATGTAGAAAATGCAGAAAATCTGAAGCAAATAAAATTCACCAACCATCCAGGCAGGAAGAGATAAGCACTCCATCCATTTCTGATGGGTTCTGTGCTTTCATATGTTACACTCAGCCTAGAAAGAGCTACATGGATGATCACACTTCATATGCAATGTTATATGTCGCTCTTTTTTCCATTTAACATGGAAAGGTAACAAAAAATATAATTGTTTTACGTGAAGGTCCCATAATTTGTTTAACAAAGCTCTTCCTTGTTAGCCATCTGGGCAGTTTCCTTTGTTTCTCTTTATCTTGTACTAGAGGCCTGGTGCACAAAATTCATACACGGGTAGGATCCCTCACCCTGGTCAGTGATCAGGGCTGATCTGTTGGGCAACCGGCGGGGTGATCAAGAGGCCCCTGCTGGCACCCACCTTGGCCGGCCTGGGGCCTGCGGGCTGGGGGCAGCTCCTGTGTTGAGCGTCTGCCCCCTAGTGGTCAATGCATGTCATTGCAACTGGTTGTTCTGCTGTTCAG